ACAGGGTCAAGGACGGCGTCAGCACCCTTGCTGACCCAATTGGGGGCAGGTTCAGAGGCGGTGTCGATGTTCCTACCAGCCCACTTGGGAGCTGGACCACAGGCAGTGTCGGCATCCCAGCCAACCTGCTCGGGTTCAGGAACAGAGGTAGCATCAGAACCCTCACTGACCTGCTCGACTACAGGAACAAAGGTGGCGTCGACATCCCAGCTGACCCACTCAGAAACAGGAGCAGAAGCATCAGCTGGAGCATTCATGTTGGTGGACGCTTTCATCAGCACACCCTGGATCAACCAATTCAGAGGGGTCATCTTTGCTGACAGGCTGTGGAACAAGAACAGGTGTGGTTTTGACTCACACAAAACCAGGTGCAGAGGCAGCATCGACCCACTCTGGCACAAGATTGGATAGTGGTGTTGACCTGCTCAGAGGTAGACTTTGCGGTGGTGTCAGCGTCCTCGCTACCCCCTCGAATACAGGGACGGAGGCAGTGTCAGTATCCCAGCCGACTCACTCAGGAACTGGAACAGGAGCAGTGTCAGTGTCCCAGGCTTGGGAACAGGAACAGAGATTGGAACCCCAATAATGGTTTTCTTGTTGGCACACTGGTGGGCTGAATTCTAGGTGGGGACGTCTTCATCAGCGCGCCAAAGAGTGGAAGCTCCAGGGGGGGACGTTCTCGCAGGCACACCAGGAAACAGCTGCACCAGAGGGAATATTAATACCAGCCTCCTCGAGACCCAGGGCTGACTGGGTATCTCTGTCTCCAGCCTCATCTCCTGGAGACGCAGTGTAACTTGAGAACTGGCTGAGGCTGCGGCTCGGGAGATGGCTGGTGCTGCAGCTTGGAGACAGGCTGGTGAGAGGGGGTTTTCTGAGAGCAACCCTTCTTCTGGGCTCTCCTCCTTTGTAACCCCTCAGGACACACAGCAAGACAGGCTCCTCAAAATGGTGAGCTCTCGGGGTTGAGAGCAGGTGGATCCTGGCTCAACTCAGGTTCAGGTAACAAGGTCATGACTCTGAGACAGATGGAGGGGTTGGCCAGCTATGTCTTGAAGGCAGCCCTGTCCTTATTGACTGAGTAATGAGGGGAAAGGGGCGCTCCATTTGAGCCTTGAGCTGTCACCAGATGGATTGGGCCTCTGCTGGGCTCAGGTTGGTCCTCCTCCTCTCCTTTTCCTGGATAACTCCATTATGCAATCTGTTCTGTATACCTAGAACCCCTGTATTTATATTGTGCTGTCTGAGATGGAGTCGTTGAGCCAAGTCTCCATGAAGCATAGTAGAGCACCAGAGCATGAGAAGTCAGAGTTCATCCATTTTCTTGGCTAGAGAGTGGAGATTTGCTCCATGGATAAATGTGAGGGGTGTCCAGGTCCCTCTCTGTCGAGGGACTTAACCAGGGGCCCCACTCATTTCCCTTGACGTCGTTTTCTCCAGGTCCAATAGAAGACTGCTGCCCCTTTGACCAGAAGGTCCACACAGCTTTTTGCATTAGCAAAAATAGGAGTTTAGGTGTTTGGAGTGAGTCGTCTGATGTTTATTAGCTCTTCTCTGGTGAAGGCAATCCCAAAAGGGTTTCAAAAGACAGAGAAAACAAGGAAAAACAATAAACACATGAGGGAGCGCATTACCAAGAGGGCCATACACGGCACCGTGATGTCATTACTACTGAGATCTAAGGGAATATTAAGTTCAACAGCACGGTGGCTGTTTGTCAGTCTGGCTACAGTGCTGAAAAGAAACCTAGGTTTGTTCTTATTTTCCTCTATCAATGATGAATAATATGCAGTTATGGCACTACATAGGGCTTTTTTATGTTTTTATGTTCTTTTTTTATTTCTTTCTAGGTTAGGAAAAACTCTTCTGACTTTGTGGAACCGCTTTTCCACTTTTCATGATGCCTGCTTTAGGGAGCAGAGCTGTGAGCTGTACCACAGGGCCTCCTCTGTTTCACTGCCCTTGTTTTCAAAGGGGGCAACAGTATCAAGTGTCGTATGCAGGGAGGCTGCAGTACTATCAACAAGATTATTCACTTGTGTGGGAGTCAAGTTATCATAGTTGCCCCCCATTGTGTTGGCACACAGCCCTGAAGTAAATAATGATGGAACTACAGTATTTCCTTAAATTTGGTAACAGCATTGTCTACTGTAATGGATTTTTTCCCCACACAGTGTATAATACATTAAACCTTAAATCCAAAAGTTATTACAGAATGGTCAGATAGAAAAAGATTTGAGGGAAAAACTATTAAGTGTTCAGTTTCAATGTCAGAACAAGATCAAGAGTGTGATTAAAAATAGTTTGACAAAAGCCAGTTGTTCTAATAATGAACTAAATGCACTGTTGAGGCTGTCATTGTTAGCATCTACAAGAATATTAAAGTCACCCACTATGATTATTTTATCTGTACTAAGCACTAAATCAGACCAAGTTTGAGAATTCAGTTAAAAACTCTGAATAAGGAGTAGGTAGACAGTATACAATAAATAGAACTGGTTTTTCCAGTTTGGGTGTGAGAGATTCAGAGTGAGGCTTTCAAATGAGTTATAACTATGTTTAGGTCTAGGGTTGATTAATAGGCTGGGAGGGATTATTCATTCCCTTTTGAATAACACTAACATTAAAAGTAAAAGACTTATGGTACACCTAAATGGGAACAAAGGCACCATTAATTAGCAAGACACATTTAGGCTTTTCCTTTTAATACCTACCAAGAAAGTTCCATAATAAGAACTTAAAATCACAAGACGTGAGAGATTTCATCCTTTACAGAAGACAGCACAAAAAGTACTCAATACAGAACAGATCTTATTACAAACAATTAAAATGGTTTACAAATACTAAAAATAAGCATTTACAAGTGATAGCTGGTGACTATGATGCCAAATTCATGTCTCATCAGACAAACTGTAAGGCATCATCTTAAAGTTATTAATGAAGCACAATAACTGCTTCATAAAAGTCACTGATACTTTAAAAAAACATTAACACAGAAGAGAAACAATAAAATACATTTCATATAACAATTTTTCTTCTAAAACGGTTCTTCTTCTTCAAAAAAAGGAAGAATTGATTAAAGACCACATTAAATTTGAGATTTAAAAATGCATATTTCCTTGATCCCTTATCTTCTGGAAATAATCTTGATTGACTTGATACACATATACTGCAGCATGGAGGCAAGAGGCTTTCACTGTAGTGATTGCATACAGTTTAAACTCAAACAGCGTGGTGGGAAATTGCAGATTTATCTCTAATTCCTTTATGAAGGTCACAGATGAAGGTTCAAGGTCGGCGGTCATATTCACCAACTTTTGTCTTGATGTATGACAGTTTGGACTTGAGATACTTGCACCTTTTCTTCTTCACCTGGTAGTCTGGGGACTGCAGATATAGAAAATAATTCAAATAATCTGAGTTAAATCACAAAACCTTCTCTATTCAACCTCTGTATTTCACGATAAAAAACAACACTGCTAATAGTGCTTGGATATGCCTTACCTTCTTGAGATTCTTCAGTCTGGTGTATTCATTCATGGCATCCTGAGATTAGAAAGATAGTGGTTAATGATCTGAAGTCACCACTCAGAAGAAAACACCATCTCAGATTGGCACAAATCTGTTTCTCAGCCACTCAGAGGTGACTGAATATGGTGGTGGCATACATTTACCTCAATTTTACTTCACTATTATTGCATTTTCAGTAACATTAGGGGAAATGTAAATCCAGTAACAATAAATGGCAGTGAATCACACATACCCTATATGAAAATGAAATAAATCTCCTGCAACACCATCAATAGGCATGATCCCTAAACCTAGCATGACATACTCTGAAAACTAACCTAAACTAAATATAATGCTCACTTATGGTTATGTAACTTAAGGTAGCACTAGCATGAAACTCCAAATCTGTCCACTCTACTCTGCCCAGCACTCCCTCTCCCTGCTCCATTATGCTCTACTACAACCTGCTATACTCTGCGGAGCTCTTCAGAGATTTGTTATGAAAAAACAAGAAATGAAAATGCAACAAAACTTATTGATCAATCAGAAATAAGTGAAAGTCTGGTTAGAAAGGTCAATCCTGCTCAAAACCCTTTAGAAACCAATATCTGTGCACTGCTGCCAGTGATGTTTAATGGGTCTGGGTCACCAGAGGCTTTGACAGTACTTTTCCACATTAAGATACCTTTTGGAGAAGATTTCTACAACTAAAATATTTTTTAAAAGTTGCATACTATAGCTTTAACTCCCAACAACAACAACAAAATTAAGGAAACACCAGGGGGTTTGATAGATACAGTGCCTTGCGAAAGTATTCGGCCCCCTTGAACTTTGCGACCTTTTGCCACATTTCAGGCTTCAAACATAAAGATATAAAACTGTAATTTTTTGTGAAGAATCAACAACAAGTGGGACACAATCATGAAGTGGAACGAAATTTATTGGATATTTCAAACGTTTTTAACAAATAAAAAACTGAAAAATTGGGCGTGCAAAATTATTCAGCCCCCTTAAGTTAATACTTTGTAGCGCCACCTTTTGCTGCGATTACAGCTGTAAGTCACTTGGGGTATGTCTCTATCAGTTTTGCACATCAAGAGACTGAAATTTTTGCCCATTCCGCCTTGCAAAACAGCTCGAGCTCAGTGAGGTTGGATAGAGAGCGTTTGTGAACAGCAGTTTTCAGTTCTTCCCACAGATTCTCGATTGGATTCAGGTCTGGACTTTGACTTGGCCATTCTAACACCTGGATATGTTTATTTGTGAACCATTCCATTGTAGATTTTGCTTTATGTTTTGGATCATTGTCTTGTTGGAAGACAAATCTCCGTCCCAGTCTCAGGTCTTTTGCAGACTCCATCAGGTTTCCTTCCAAAATGGTCCTGTATTTGGCTCCATCCATCTTCCCATCAATTTGAACCATCTTCCCTGTCCCTGCTGAAGAAAAGCAGGCCCAAACCATGATGCTGCCACCACCATGTTTGACAGTGGGGATGGTGTGTTCAGGGTGATGAGCTGTGTTGCTTTTACGCCAAACATAACATTTTGCATTGTTGCCAAAAAGTTCGATTTTGGTTTCATCTGACCAGAGCACCTTCTTCCACATGTTTGGTGTGTCTCCCAGGTGGCTTGTGGCAAACTTTAAACAACACTTTTTATGGATATCTTTAAGAAATGGCTTTCTTCTTGCCACTCTTCCATAAAGGCCAGATTTGTGCAGTATACGACTGATTGTTGTCCTATGGACAGAGTCTCCCACCTCAGCTGTAGATCTCTGCAGTTCATCCAGAGTGATCATGGGCCGCTTGGCTGCATCTCTGATCAGTCTTCTCCTTGTATGAGCTGAAAGTTTAGAGGGACGGCCAGGTCTTGGTAGATTTGCAGTGGTCAGATACTCCTTCCATTTCAATATTATCGCTTGCACAGTGCTCCTTGGGATGTTTAAAGCTTGGAAAATCTTTTTGTATCCAAATCCAGCTGTAAAGTTCTCTACAACAGTATCGCGGACCTGCCTGGTGTGTTCCTTGTTCTTCATGATGCTCTCTGCGCTTTAAACGGACCTCTGAGACTATCACAGTGCAGGTGCATTTATACGGAGACTTGATTACACACAGGTGGATTCTATTTATCATCATTAGTCATTTAGGTCAACATTGGATCATTCAGAGATCCTCACTGAACTTCTGGAGAGAGTTTGCTGCACTGAAAGTAAAGGGGCTGAATAATTTTGCACGCCCAATTATTCAGTTTTTTATTTGTTAAAAAAGTTTGAAATATCCAATAAATTTCGTTCCACTTCATGATTGTGTCCCACTTGTTGTTGATTCTTCCCAAAAAATTACAGTTTTATATCTTTATGTTTGAAGCCTGAAATGTGGCAAAAGGTCGCAAAGTTCAAGGGGGCCGAATACTTTCGCAAGGCACTGTAGTCAAGAACAGTTAGCCAAATAGACTAGACTTGACCAGTTCTTGACCAAAGTTTAAAAAGGTAGCCAAAATTATCCACCCAAGACAGTTTTTCCATCTTTATCTCAACCAACATCTTTGAAAGAGGCTGAACTAGCCATCATCACTTCAAAGAGATAAAACTGAAACTGGCACAGCCACACTCACCAGGAACTGTGGACTGTTTTCAGGGAGTTGGTCTAGCTCTTTGTCCAGGTCAACCAGGTCCTGGTTTACGTTGTCCAGATCAGTCTGCAGGCTCTTGTACTCCTGATAATCCCGTTCAAATTCCCGTTTGTAGTGCAAACGTTCTTGCTCATTCACTATGGAAGGAAACAAACTACAAACAAAAACAAAATCAAACTGACCTTGGCAATTTACTATGCAACTACTAGCAATTACTCATAATACTATCTAGTAGAAACATTTGGTAATGCAAACATAACATGGATTTATAGTGTAGAAATACAAAAAGCTCCTTAATATTTTTGTCATAATCATTACTTACTCATAATCATTACTATTGTTAGCTAGAGTATCAGATCCCTGTGCATCCACTCACATGTTGAAGTCATCCTCCTCTAGGTCATCTCCAGACTCCACACCAGTGTCATAGTCCCTGGTCCATGGCCTGGATTTCAGGCCTCCTACAGATCCGCTAATGTCTGAGTCTCTGCAAATAGAATTATTGATTATACATTTTTTTACCAGCCTTGTCAATAGTTTTTAAATGAGAGCAGTCAAATTTCAAACAGATGAAGCAAAGATATCCTGAACGGTGCACTGAATGTTGCATAGCTTACCCAGGCAAATAAAGAGGCTTGTTGTTGTCAAGCTGGTCTAGATAGTCTCTGGAACCCTTAGCTTTGTCATTATAGTCATTCAGTGGTATCTCTGGGTCACCAGACACATTTTTTACCTGAAGCAAAAGATAAGGTGTGACATTCTTCAGTTGTAACCCAGAAGCTCTGTTTTGATCAACATTTGGGTGTTCCTGAATTAAAAATCACATTTGAATCTTTAGGATACATTCTACCAACAAAACACGAACAGAACATGAGAATGCAATTAGGAGACAGGGTTGAACTTGTCCTGACTTTTTTTTTTATGTCATCACTTTTCAGCCCCTTTTGCTCTCTCGGTTGTTGATGTCATTCATAAGCCACACTGATGTTAATTCTGGTTTTACTTCTTGCAGCATCCAACTTCTTTTTAGTTGTAACTTTGTCAAACACAGTGTTACCCACCCAGATCTGTGGCCCTGAACTGTAGTTGGGGACCTCTGGTTCATGGCTAAACTGCTTTAGCTCTGGCTCATAGCTGGTAACTAGCCTTAGAAGTCTGTGCTTTTCCAGCGGGGAGAAGTGAAGATGGAGGCAGGCTAAGGCAGTTCAAAACACAGGCTTTATGCCCAGTTAACTATATTAGAATCGTATCTATACAGTTAGAGCTTTCTACTGTTGGTATTTTTCCCACCCGTGGCTGCATGTAAAAGGAGTCTGTTCCATGCAGTAGTCTTCTCACTGTACAACAATAACATTATTACCTATAAGGCTATTTGTCTCAAAGGGGAAGGCCTGGCCTGTAACAATGGGCTCCGTTTGTGAACAAAAGATGCTGTGGGTACCTTCTCTGCCATAGCTCACTAGATTTAGCTAAGGAAAGAGAGCAGTAACACATCTGCAACACCTTTTGGGAGATTCTTGGCTCATGCCAAGGATAAGGTACACACAAGTACAAAAAAGGCTGACAGGCAGGTAGGCCATCCAATGGCTTTGCTCAGACTGAGTAAAGTTATTGGCTTTTTTGAGTGCTGCTGTTGCTACAGATGATAGATTTATTTCTTTATGCTGTCAATGCATTTCATGTATTCATTGTCATTGAGATAAAAAGAGAATTTCAAGATATGTAACAAAAAAAAAAAGCTTCTTTAAACAATTGCCAACCCTACCTTTAACAAGCATTACTCCATTAAAATCTCTTTTTTTTTGCTTTGACCACAAGATAGGGCCAAAACGACAACAGCAAAGGAGAACAAAGCAGGTGACAAATGATTTGATCACTGAAGATGTAATTATCCAACAGGATGCCTTGTTTGTTACTTATTTCTGCTGTTTGACCCCTGATGAAGATATGGGGGCCAGGTTAAGGTACTTCAACTCATGTGTTACTTGTTAAAGTATACAGAAATAACAGCACAGCCAATTAAGAAAACTGTTATGGGATTTTTTTGTCTCGATTCCAGCCATTGTGTTACAAAGATATCCATTACTCTCTTGCCTAAGGTTTTGGTCAGATTTTGTTGAGCCTCCTCTCAATGTATGATAAACAGTCTGGTAGTACGAGTCATTCACATGGACCAACCGGTTCCTCTGCTTCTCCCTGCATGCCTGAGTACCACCGAAACCACTACCACCAACTTCCTGTTGATGGCAGATGATAGCTCTCAGTCAGTACAAATACTGACATGTCAGGTCTGAATGCATTGCTGGAAATGTTCACACACCTGGAACGTAAACTGTGTTGGTATGAAAGTCATTTTCACGGTAACCCCTTTTGCACTGTCCTAAGAACGCAAACTGTGACAGTGTCATTTCTGGAAATGTAAGAACACTTAGATTTGTATAAATCCTATTTTTCAACTCAAATGGTTATATGTCATGTTCTAGCAGTTGTTGGGTAGGCTTCTATTATTAGAACATATCATTACAGTACAGCATTTAAAAGTAGCTTACCAGACCACACCCAGAAACTGCAAATGAAACCATCCTTCCATGCCCCAAACCTTGCCTCACACACACACACACACACACACACACACCTGACTTAAATACATCATGTTGTTTCTGCATTTTCTTTAAGAATGGGCCACAAAAGAGTACATTAGACTCTGTGCCAAGTTCACTGAAGTAATTTTATGTAGCTGTGCTCTGAGGGAAAAAAAAAAACTATAGTTGAACACATTTATGTTCATTTCTACATATCAAATATTTGTCTCATTTACAGCAGTTATGTTCGTGGGTCAATTTGACCCGCAACATAACAGGAGGGTTAAGTCATGGCCTTAGGATATCCCCAAATATAATGTATTTCAAAGCTGTGGCAACATGTGAGTCGTCAGTGTGACGATTCGCTGTGGTGACCCCTAACTGTGAAAAGCTGAAACTTTCTTTCTTTCTTTCTTTCTTTCTTTCTGGACATGTGGAAGTCTTTGAAGTCTGTTTATAGATAAACATCTTTGAACAAAACTGAGCATTTTGCAGTGTGATAGTCCTCAACCACAGTTCCCATTCTATTAAATACAACCCCAAATCAGAAAACATTGGGACAGTATGTGAAATAAAAAAAAACACTGTGATTTGTAAATCATCTATGTCCTGTATTACACTGAAAACAACACAGCAGCACATTATTTGATGTGATACCTCATCAGTTTTATTCTTAAATAAACACTCACTTCAATCCTGATGCTGCAGCACATTCCAAACAAAGTTGGGACGGCTGCATTACAGGGCCAGTAATGAGGTAAAACAATGAAATGATGATTCCATGTGAAACAGGTGATGTCAACAGGCAACAAAGTGGCATCCAGGAAAGGCCGAGCCCTTTGGGAGCAAAGATGGGCCGAGGACCGCCGGTTTGTAACATATGTGTGAGAAATTTATTGAAATGTTTAAAAACAATGTTCCTCAAAGAAAGATAGGAAGGGATTTGGATATGGCACCTTCTGTGGTGCAGAACATCATTAAAAAGTTCAAGTTATCTGGAGGGATTTCAGTGTATAAAGGGCACAAGCCTAAGCTGGATGATCGTGCTCTCTGATCCCTCAGACGTCACAATGAATCAAGAATCGTCAATCTTCTATAAGTGATATAACCACATGGGCTCAGGATGACTTTGGCACACACTACAATACATAGTTACATTCATAAATGCCACTTAAAACTGTACTGTGCCAAACAGAAGCCCTGTGTCAATAAAGATGGGGATACAAGCAACATATAACCACCACCGAAACCACAGAGAGATGCACATGCACTCACCCACTCCCCGACACTGTTGTGTGTACCACCATTGAGGACCTTCACTTCTTCCCAGAGAACACGGTCTTCGCCCCATCTCCTCATCTGGGAACGAGTCTTGACTGCATACACCAGCAAGATGATGAGGCCAACAGTTATCAAGAAGCCTAGAACAATTGCTATGGCCTGCAGGAATGACAAGAAACAATGTTAGTGGCTGAAATGACATTCACTAAATAACAGGATGGTCTAGACTTATCAGTACTGGCTGTAAGTGGAAATGTGGTAAACCTATTTGTTTGTAAATCTGCATCACATACACTGTAAAACATGATGCAGGAATTTAGAAGAATCAGCTAAGCTTTTCTTGTTAAATTAATAGGTTTTGTTTCTTTTTTTAAATTAGTATTGTCTATAAAAAGAAAAGTACGAGTGAAGCTTGATTACAACACCTGTATCTGTAGTATCTCTAGTGTACGGTTAAATTTAGCACTGGAAGCACATTAGTACTGAGAACGAGAGAAATAATCTTATCCTGCAGCCAGAATTAGTTTTTCCTTGTGATTTTTTATATATATAAAATTACTTCAATATTCATAAACAGAAAATTACAATGAACAACATGAACATGTTTGCTACTCTTTGTACCATTCAATTCCTTTAAAGCATTTTTCAAACCTTTTGAAGCAATATTTTTATTTTCATAGTTGTTTTTATCTATCAGTGAAACATTTCTGTTGACTATTTGGCTAAAACTGAACAACATAGCTGTGATTATCAATGCACACAAATTACTGGAGCCATTACTGGGGTGCTGTTGGTAAAGGAACTACACAGTACATACACCCTGCTCAGTAGAGCCCAAACATACTGTACCATACCCTCCCAAAAAAACAAACATGTCACACCTCTTGGGGATCCACCACACAGTAATGGTAAAGGTACTGGTTGAGGAAGATGCCCTGGGCCTGGGCCTGGGGCTGTGTCTGGTACTGGGCACACAGCTGGCGGATTTGGCTGTAGTACACAGATCCTGTGGTCTGGGCTGATGGGTTCACTGCCACCATGTACACAATAGTGGCAATGATCATTAGAAATGCCAAGATGGCACAGATGATAATGGCACCTAGGTAGAACTTTGCTGACCGGGCTGCATTTTGCCTTGAAATAACCAACACAAATATGACGAGCACAGCTATGAAGGTAATGGCTGCGATGGCAATCATGAAGCCTTTGCCAGCCATGGGATCCATATACCCTCCATTGCCATAGCCAGAGGAACCACTTCCATATGATCCACTTCCATAGGAACCATAACTGCCTCCATAACTGCCTCCATAACCGCCTCCATAACCGCCTCCATAACCGCCTCCATAACCTGGAAGAATGCCACCTCCCATACCCATGAGGCTCATATCGTAGTCCCAGACAAAGGTGGAGGCCACACAGGCAAACACAGTCACACACATGATGATGATGATGATACACAATATCTTCATCACACCCGGGGGTGAACTCCAGCGATAGTAGTGGAGCATATTCTCTCCTGGGTAGTAGGAAAAAGCTGGGTTGGACATGAGTTCACTGTGTCTGTATCTGCTGTTGTGGCTGGGACAGAAGAGGAGAGAGGAGCTGCAGTCGTTGTGCTTTTGGAGCCGTAACCTCCTGGCTGATGCTATATTTCATAAAAGGCATGGTCAACATTCATACTAAAAACTTTTATAGAAGCCAAGTGAGCCGCTGATACTGAAGCTGAGATACCCCTTAGTCTGAAGCATGCATATTTGTTGATTTCATACATTTACATGGTTCTTAGGACATTACTATTATTATTAATATATACTACTGCTCTTTTACACCACAGCTGTTGGTTAATCAATCCACAACTGATAGACCATATATAGCCTGTGTGTGTGCTCTCTGTTAAGGTCTAATCGTCACAACATCTATTTGGGTCAGTTCTCGTTGTCTCTGGGTCACCCACAGATCAAATCTCTCCTTTTTTTTTCTTTTTTTTTTGTGTTTTATGCACATTTGGTTTGGATACTTTAATGCTAGGTACAGTTCCTGTGCCAACTGGAAGTCAAGAAATTAATTCCAACTCAAACAAAAAAAATGTCAAATGTTTGCTCTGTCTTTGTGTAAACAAGGCACAACATCCAACTGTAGGCCCAGACCAGAGGACCTCAGATTCTACCTGGTGCTGTCGGGATACATACTGTAGCTCTTAATGTAGGCATGTGTCTGACCATGCAAGGCTCTAAATGTAATCACAAGAACCATGAACTAGATTCTGTGTTTGATGGGCAGTTAGTGTTTAAACAAAAAGAAAAAAAAAAAAAACAAGTACTAGAAAATTTGAGCATATAACCCCGGTAGTGGCTTCTCTCCACTGGCTTCCAGTCTGTTTTAGAATTGATTTGAAGTTACTGATTTTTGTTTTTGAGGCTCTTAATGGTTTGGCACCATCTTACCTCACCGAATTAATGCATTGGCACAAACCTACAAGGTCCCTCAGATCTTCAAGCCAGTTTCTTTTAGAGGTTCCATTTGCTGTTGCAGCCCCTAAATTGTGGAATAGTCTACGTTTTATTGTTAGGTCAGCTACTGACCTCAGTACTTTTAAACATTGCTTAAAACATATTTATTTGCCTTGGCTTTTAATACCTAGTAGGACCTGATGCATTCCTTTTAATTTATACATTTATGAATGTATGTCATCTGTGTGTCTGTGTTATTGTGCTGTTTTATTTTTTGCACTGATCTTATTTATTTTATTTATTGTGATTTTATTCTGCCATGTAAAGTACTCTGGTCAACTGGATGCTGTTTTTAAAGTGCCATATAAAAAATGTGATTAAAAAAAATCTTTTAATAAAGCTGGTGGGAAAAATCTATCTGCAGATATACAATATCTAACATGTGTCTGTGTGTGACAGAGGCATGAGGGCAGCAGTGCAGTAGCGAGAGGATAAAAGTAGGTCAACTTACTGTTTACTACCCCTTGGCTGGTATGGCGGGGGGCTGTGTCTGTTAGTTGGCATACTGAAATCTAATCGGCACTCACCCTGCTAAAAGAGGAAAAAAACTAAACAAAAAACTCCCACAAAACTACAGATTTTGTAAAAACAGAGAAACAGAGAAACTGATTGAATCGGGTAATACAACAACATGTGTTTTTACAATGGTGGAGGGCTTTCAAATTAATCAGGACTTAAAACTGTATTTGGGGTTTATGTACTGAATGCAAGGCTGTTTGAAAATTGTCATGCCAATTTTTGGTATTTTTGGTACACTGTAAAACAGAGAAATTTTGTGGAATCAACTAATCTATCTTAATAAGAACAGTTTTATTATTTCAAGTCAATTCAACTTAGAACTTCTACTTCCTTCAACTTCTTTTCTGAAGTTAGTTTTACATTTGCAAACTCCATAAAACAGTGCTGAATGTATTCAGACTACAGGTAAGTTCAGTTAACTCCTATTTAAGGTAGCAGCAGAACTTGCACTTCTAAATAGAACAAACTTTAAATGAATTACAGTGTACCAAAACATATGTTTCTGTAACACCTTCTCTGACAAATATCATTTTTTTCTTCAACATCTCTTTCTTCTAACTTTAAAAGACACCGATCAAGTCTTAGGTAACATGCAAACAGTCTTTGTCTAAATAAAACTGTCAAAAAAAGACACTCCAAATCATACTAAAGCATAAAGCAAAACTAGAAATTTGTGCCAGCTTTTGTTACATTTTGATACTATGTGCTATGGACACATTTATATCAGCACCAAAAATTTACAATATGCTGATATAGATGAAAACCACTGGCTGCCTCTATGAAAACATAAAAATGTAAAATACACAATGCTTGTCTTAATCTGGTCATGATTTATTTGTAGTATTAGTTTTTTTTGTCAGAAGTAAACTAGTCAAATGTCACATATACCTTTCTTATATGTCATGAAGGGTAGCTGTCTTTAATCAATTTCAACAACTCTTCAAATACTGACGTTATTCAGAGAGCTGTGAAGTCAACCAACAGAGTCAAGCCTAGTGCTTGGAGGTTTGTTTGTTGTGAAACAGAGAAGCAGCAAGAGGGTGGCACACAAACTGAGACTATGTTCTTAAAATTAAACAGGTGACAGGTGAAACTGAACAGGTTGCTAGTTTCACAAACAGTGAAACTACAGACTATACAATCATAACACAGGCTGGCAGCCATTTTGGTCTCTAAGATGACAATCTATCACTTCTATTTTAATTAATTCTAATTCAGAAGTTGATGTGTTTAGCCTATATTCCAATTTACACTCCAAATCATTTAAAAGGAGGCTTTCATTCAACAGGAAAACAGACTAATGTCAATCAAATATCACTGATTCACATTTGAAAGTAAGCCTTTCAAAAATTATAATTTTAGTTTGCCACTGTAAATTTGACAGTAATGAAACCTGATGTTTTAAAAAGTAACAGCCTAATGCGGGGCAAAATGTCTCCTTAAAAATTGTGTCATTAAACCTGTGATATTTCCTTACAAATGCTGTCGGATATCTTGGACCACTATAAAAGCTTTAACGTGTAGCCTAAATCATCTTCTATAAAATCCAGGCCACAAACTTCGGCTCTAGTTTTGAAATGAACCCACCTGATATGATGGACCCGATGAGGTCTGCGACGTGATGAACACAACAACACCTAACAAGCGCGCATCCGCTTCCTCTGCGCAGCGTGCTCGAGGAGCGCAAAGAAACGCGCTACAGGTGTGTGTCATTACGTGGGCTCCTCCCCATGTCATACAGGAATAACCTGTCCTCTCCCACAACACCTTTGTTGACAAATTCAAGCAGCACTAGCAACGTTTACTCTTCCAGGGACACCACACCCAAAGTCACTAGAATGTTGGGCTTTGTCACTGTGAGGTATTTGTACTTTTAGTTGTGGGGCTGGTTTGAAATGCAACAGTTTCTGTGTTAGATTTGGTATTACCATTCTAAAACCGAACTCATGGGCCAGTATTTACAGGCTTGTTCATTATTAGTGTTTAAATCATTTCCCATACATCATATAAAAAGCAGTTGTACAGATAAGTGTACGAATACCTACTCAATTCATATATTAAAAACAATATTTTTAAATTATAAATAATATACAAAATAAACTTTTTGAACTAGTACAAATTCTACATAAACTTTAGTCTTCCAAGTGGTCCTACTGATCTAGTTTAACCTGAAGCATGAAAAGCTGCCATGCAGATTAAAATCAAGGCAGAAAACATCTCAGTGTTGCAAAACCTGCCACCTAGAAAACAGTTTCAAATATTCAGGCCCACAAAACCAGTCCTCCAGGCTGTATAGGTTACCACCAGAACAGCCATTTTAAGCAGGTACCAGAGTTGATGATTGACATGGATGAGAAATTGAGCTTTCCAGGCAATTTATCCAGGTTACCTTATATTGAACAGATATTCAGGGCATTTGATTTTTTTTTTTTACAAATTTATCAGCATGACATGATTTACCAAACTTCAGTAGCAAGAAAGTCTCATGGATTCTCACTGAAGGAATCATTTATATCCACTACCACTGAACATTCTCTGCTGTGCCTTTGGTGTCACCTCAGCTCTTCTAGAGTAGCCACAGTACTAAACTGTTGGCAATAGATGTCAAGGCATGGAAGCAGATTTTGGGGTAAATGATGTCCCCTCGTACTGTATGTTTCCTTTTACCTCTACCTACTCCTAAGCATTGGGATCAGCAGCAATGACAGAACCTCAGTTGGAGATGTATACTGATCGGCCACTTTATTAGGTACACCTGCTGTTCAACTGCTCATTAAGGAAAATATGACAGACTAGTTCAAATAAACATTTGTTAAATCTGAGGCTTGCAGAAGAGCATCTCTGAATGCACAAAATGATGAACCATGAAGCAGATGGGCTACAGCAGCAGCAGATCACACTGAGTGCCACTCCTGTTAGTTAAGAACAGGAAACCGAGGCTACAATTTGCAAGGGCTCACCAAAGTTGGACAACAGAAATTTGGAAAAAGGTTGCTCGGTCTGATAAGTTTCTATTGCAGCATTTGGATGGTAGGGTCAGAATTTAGCATAAACAACATAAAACCATGGATCCATCCTGCCTTGTATTAACGGTTCAGGATGGCGGCGGCGGTGGTGTAATGGTGTGGGGGATATTTTCTTGGTACACTTTGGGCTCCTTGGCACCAGCTGACCATCATTTAAATGCCAATTTTTCCAGCACCTTGTTGGATCTATGCTATGAAGACAAAAGGGAGTCCAACCCTGTACTCAGTTAACACTAAACCAGCTTTCTGGAATACCCCCCTTTAAAAAAACAAACAGAAATTTACAAATAAATGCAGCTAATTCCAAATGGCTTAGTATTTTTCTCACCACTGTATATAACCTACTTAGTATAAATCAGGAACTCATCAACTCAACATGACTTACAACAAATAAAAATATAAACTGGGAACATGTAATATTGTTTTGAGTTTACTGTTTTTATACTAGCCTTAATTTCCTGAGCTGTTCTTATGCATTACCACTGCCCTACAAACTGTGCTTAGGCAGCTGCTGGACTGAAACAGTGAATTGCAGATATAACAGAAGTCATACAAATAGTGCATTGGCTGAAATAAAAAAAAACAAAATACAAGCGTATAAAAAGGTGCATAATTGGCATGGAGGATTAGGACACTGTGGCTATGATACAAAACAATAATATACATGAACACATAACCAATCAAACATATTAATGTACTGTAAAAAAGGAGTTTACAAAAAAGTGATTATAGTTAATTTAAAAAGTCATCTGTTATATTACATTGTGATTTCAGTGACAGCTTGAGAGACAGTTCACCCAGTCTACTATGTAGAGCATTTAGTAAATCTTCACATTATGCTTCACAGTTCAAGAAAATACTAATGGGGAGAAGAAATTCAGTATAAAAACCAACAACAGCATACAGAAAGCATTATGGCAAGTACCTAAACCTTCACAGTATGACACATCTGCACATACTGTATAGTACATAAGTATATCCTATCTAGCAAACTCTGAGTCAGCATTATTTACATAATCTTCACTGAATTGTCTTCAGTGTCTAGCTAGCCAGTCTTAAGACCCCATTTACACTTAATGTGTGATGTTTCCTTTAAAACTGATTGTCATCTTGCCCATACTCAGATGAAAAGATCATTTCAAATCTTGTATAATTATAATTTACTTCATAGGGAAAAAAACAAGTATCTAATGAGTTTTATACAAGTATCCATAGCAACATACACAAATGGGCATGGGTTGCTTGTGATGACGTTAGTCTAGCAGTTTCAAGTCTTTGTTGCTAAACTAGTCTAAATACCAGACTAGACATGCATGGATTAAATTCATAATTTTCTCATCTCTGGGTGAAATGGAAAAAAAGCTTATTTTCCCAAATGATCCTTCAAAATGTCATATGCATCAGGGTATGGTCACTGTACATACATATAATCACTTATTTAGGTTACACCTGGTCCATTACAGCTTTCTGCATTCTGTCCATCTTTTCAGATCCCACTTATGGATGATGTTTCTGCCTATCAGAATTATTTATATAGGTCTGTCATGAAAACAACTGCCATGATGGCACGGGCACTTGTTCTGATGTGATAACAGTGTGTCTAAAACCAACAATGATATGTACACCAACAGTGACGGGGGGGACATACTCCTGTTCCCTTCTCCCCTCAGTCCCAGTACTATGTTCTCTCTGCAAGCGAGTATGACCGTGTACTGTACGTAGATGCAAACTGCATATGGGATTCCAGGTGTGCTGGTGTTCAGGTGCAGTGTTTAGTTGCTATCCTTGTCATACTCCTGAATCTTCTGCTTGATATGAGACAGCTTGTTCTTGAGGTACTCACATCTCTCTCTTTTTTCCAAATATGTTGGGTCCTAACAAGAAAAACAAAAATAAATCTGTTAAATATTTTGCTTTCTTTCTTTGTGACAGAATGCCAGTATATCAAGGGACAGTTTCTATGGTAGTCAAAGAATCACAGAATTTCACTGGTGGGTTACTGTATGGGCAATACAGTCACATATAAGCAGTACAATACATGTTGAAGGTTTGGAATAGTTTTCACTAACACATGCAAACATGAACGACTCAGAAAAGAAGAACATTTTGGGTAATGGGGCAGTCCAGCATGATTACAGAAAGCCATGTAGAAGTCATATCAAAGTTCCATGACAACATAGGGATTATGATTACATGCCTTCTTTCAAATACCATAAACACAGTTTCTAATGCAGGTTTTCAGTTTTAAATTATTAGTAGCTAATGAAATACCACTGATGACATTTCCAGGGTTATTTCAGACTTTCTGAAGCCATAGACAACTACTTTCACAGGCTAAGCACAGAATCTCCATTGTCTTATATTTTACTTCCCTTCTCATACAGTATTGTTCAAAATAATAGCAGTACAATGTGACTAACCAGAATAATCCAGGTTTTTAGTATTTTTTTTTATTGCTACATGGCAAACAAGTTACCAGTAGGTGCAGTAGATTCTCAGAAAGCAAACAAGACCCAGCATTCATGATATGCACGCTCTTAAGGCTGTGCAACTGGGCAATTAGTTGAAAGGGGTGTGTTCAAAAAAATAGCAGTGTCTGCCGTTGACTGTACAAACACAAAACTATGTTGTAGAAACGTTTTTGTTTCTAGGATTTAGCAATCCTGTGAATCACTAAACTAATATTTAGTTGTATGACCACAGTTTTTTATAACTGCTTCACATCTGTGTGGCATGGAGTCAACCAACTTGTGGCACCTTTCAGCTGTTATTCCACTCCATGATTCTTTAACAACATTCCACAATTCATTTACATTTCTTGGTTTTGCTTCAGAAACAGCATTTTTGATATCACCCCACAAGTTCTCGATTGGATTAAGGTCCGGGGATTGGGCTGGCCACTCCATAACATTAATTTTGTTGGTTTGGAACCAACACTTTGCTCGTTTACTAGTGTGTTTGGGGTCATTGTCTTGTTGAAACAACCATTTCAAGGGCATGTCCTCTTCAGCATAAGGCAACATGACCTCTTCAAGTATTTTGACATATGCAAACTGATCCATGATCCCTGGTATGCGATAAATAGGCCCAACACCATAGTAGGAGAAACATGCCCATATCATGATGCTTGCACCACCATGCTTCACTGTCTTCACTGTGTACTGTGGCTTGAATTCAGAGTTTGGGGGTCATCTCACAAACTGTCTGTGGCCCTTGGACCCAAAAAGAACAATTTTACTCTCATCAGTCCACAAAATGTTCCTCCATTTCTCTTTAGGCCAGTTGATGTGTTCTTTGGCAAATTGTAACCTCTTCTGCACATGCCTTTTTTTTAACAGAGGGACTTTGCGGGGGATTCTTGAAAATAGATTAGCTTCACACAGACGTCTTCTAACTGTCACAGTACTTACAGGTAACTCCAGACTGTCTTTGATCATCCTGGAGCTGATCATTGGCTGGGCCTTTGCCATTCTGGTTATTCTTCGATCCATTTTGATGGTTGTCTTCCGTTTTCTTCCACGTCTCTCTGGTTTTGCTCTCCATTTTAAGGCATTGGAGATCATTTTAGCTGAACAGCCTATAATTTTTTGCACCTCTTTATAGGTTTTCCCCTCTCCAATCAACTTTTTAATCAAAGTACGCTGTTCTTCTGAACAATGTCTTGAACGACCCATTTTCCTCAGGCTTTCAAATGCATGTTCAACAAGTGCTGGCTTCATCCTTAAATAGGGGCCACCTGATTCACACCTGTTATTTCACAAAATTGATGACCTCACTGATTGAATGCCACACTGCTATATTTTTGAACACACCCCTTTCAACTAATTGCCCAATTGCACAGCCTTAAGAGCATGCATATCATGAATGCTGGGTCTTGTTTGCTTTCTGAGAATCTGCTGCACCTACTGGTAACTTGTTTGCCATGTAGCAATAAAAAATATACTAAAAACCTGGATTATTCTGGTTAGTCACATTGTACTGCTATTATTTTGAACAATACTGTATGCATAAATAAACTAATTGCTCATAATAGTTTTTGCAGGCTGATGACAACATGGTTACCAAGTATTACTCGCTGATTATGTCAACAACACAGAGAATTCCTGTCTTAACTCAAACAATCAAGTACTATGACCAAATTTTGGTTGATGCACCTGGAACAGAATGTGTATGCTCTCAATTAGTTCTTAGATAGAAAGATAATCAGAATCAGCATGTCAGACATAAAAAAACATCAATCGACTAAGAAAATTGCAAATGGTGCATCTCTAGTTACTATTAAAAAAATAAGAAACAAATAAATGAAATAGAGGGCCACATTTTTATGAATCCATTTGTTCCTTGTACTATCTAGCAATTTCCTGACGATTCCTGCCTAAAGTGCATGACCTAGCTTTATATTAGCACAAAACTACTATCTGTACCTGTTTAACACGGTGTATATTCTTTATTCAGAGTTAAAGATTTCAGGTTGTTGGACTTTTTCTAGACTGAATCATTTTCTGTTCAGCTCACTCAATAGGCTTGATTGGGCACCTGTGAAAAATATGAAAAGCTTTTCTGGCCAACTTGCATGCTCTTTGTAGACAGTCTCTAAATTAAGCTTGTATTTGGACGTATAGTTTGCATATTTGAGTCCTTGGTATAAACCAATTGACATTACAAAAAGTCCTACTGCTTCAGCTGCTAGCAGTTCCTGTTTATAAAAAACTCTTTCTTTCCCTCTGCCATTAGACTCCTAAACAGCTGACTCAGGATCTACCCCCAGACAACATATCCGAGATGGTGATGAGTTGGTGTACAGATGGGAGGTTGAACAGCTGGACCTGTGGTGCAGATGCAACAACCTAGAGCTGAATACGCTCAGAAAAGTGGAAATGACAGTGGACTTTAGGAAGAGCCCCCCACCCCATCTCCCCTCACCATACTAAGCAACACTGTATCAGCAGTTTAGAGTCGTGGTTGTCCAACATCAGGACCATCACCAAGAAGGCACAGCAGAAGATGTACTTCTTGCGTCAGCTCAGGAAGTTCAACCTACCCTAGGAGCCACTGATACAGTTCTACAGAGGAATCATTGAGTCTGTTCTCTGCTTCTCCATCACTGTCTGGTTTAGCTCAGCAACCAAACAGGACAGGAACAGACTCCAACAGACAGTCAGGGCTGCAGAAAGAATCAACAGTGCCAGTCTGCCCTCCATGGAGGACTTGTACACCTCACGGGTCAGATGGGGGCAGAGAAATTTCTGCAGACGCCTCACACCCTAGACACAAACTGTTTGAACTCCTCCCCTCTGGATGACGTAACAGACACAAGGACAGTTTCTATCCCTCAGAACATCACTCTCATGAGCAGTTAACCCATGTTTATATGTACAGTATAACAAGATAGACCAAACATCACAGTCCAATAACTTGTAGATGTAATCATAGTACATAAAATAGCTATTTATTAACATGTATATATGTACATATTTAGAAATAGATGGTTGTCTTCTTATTGTTTTTTTTTTTCAGTTTTATTTGGTGCACATCGGGGGACATCAAGCTGGACTCAAATTCCTTGTATTTTAATATATTTGGCAATAACGTTTTTGATTGATTGATTGACTTGATTTTTCTTATTTTGTTCAGGAGCATAAGGGGAGAACCAGTTGCCCTATAGATTAGCATAATGGCCATTCCAGGCTGTGTTTACTGTGGGTCAGGTTTGAAGAAAAGTGCTAGACATGATTCACATAAAAATCTGGTTTATTTGGAAGGCAATAAGAGGATCATGCTGCTTACCCTGATATGTGCTGTTTTGCTGAGTTGTGCTTTTAACCAGAACATAAAGTTGGTGGCACAAAAACAACCACTCAACGAATGACATTGTATATCATAAATAACATTTTATGATGTATACTCACCATTTTCTTCCTCTGATATTCCATTAAAATGCTATCGATCCGCTCCTGCTCCTGAAAAAAAAAAAATGTTACCTGATATAGTTAAGCAGTCTGCATCAAAGTGTGTTCCTGTGTGTTTGTTTTTGTAGAGTTGAGTGAGATTCATACCATTTGGCTGGAAGGGCGAGAGGGGAGGTTCTGTATCATCTCATCCATCTCTTGAAATTTCTTGGCCATTGCTTGAACCTCAGCGTGCAGCTCCTTGTATTCAGCGTACTGGTCATTGAACACAGCCTTGTACCTGTCCCTCTCCTCCTCTGAACGAATGCTGGGGTACTTCCTATAGAAACAGGGCAGAAGACAATACATCTTCAATGGCATAATGTGAGGATGACAATATTAGTCCATCCATCTAGCACAACTACTGTCCAGATGTTATGTGTTTTTCTGAATTTCATGGATGGTTCACAATGGCCCCTTTTGATCCCTGTGGCTGGGTACAGCTGGGTATATATACATATATATAAATTCCCCACTCGCCCCCCACTTTGGGGTGGTCTTACTCCTTCCATCAAGCTCGGGTCCTCTACCAGAGGCCTGGGAGCTTGAGGGTCCTGCACAGTATCTTAGCTGTTCCTAGCACTGCACTCTTCTGGACAGAGATCTCAGATGTTGTTCCTGGGATCTTGGAGCCGCTCTCCCAGTTTGGGGGTCACAGCCCCCAATGTTCCTATTACCACGGGGACCACTTGTGCCTTCACCTTCCACATCTTTTCTAGCTCTTCTTTCAATCCTTGGTATTTCTCGAGCTTCTCGTGTTCCTTCTTCCTGATGTTGCTATCGCTTGGGATTTCTACATCTATCACTACAGCCTTCTTCTTCTGTTTGTCCACTACTACTGTGTCCGGATGGTTGGCCATTACCAGTTTGTCAGTTTGTATCTGGAAGTCTCACAGGATCTTAGCTTGGTCATTCTCAACCACCTTTGGAGGTGTATCCCATTTTGACTCTGGGGCTTCCAGCCTGTACTCGGCACAGATGTTTCTGTGCACCATGCCAGCCACTTGGTTATGGCGTTCCATGTATGCCCTGCCTGCTACCATCATATACTACCTATACCAGTCAGAATCATCAATTTTTAGCAGAGTTGGCTGACTTTGCAATGGTGGAATGCTATAAGGCACTACAACCAAATCTTTATTGAAGAATGTTTTTGAGAACCTTCCCACCAGAATCATTTGTACTGTATCTCAAACAAGTATATGAAATACACATATTTGAAAATGTGACTGAGAAGGCAATACTCACGCCACATAGTCAGCTATAACAACAGGTTTGGGGATGTGTCCTGCTGGTATGTGACCTCGGAGGATCTCTGGCTCCAGCATCTTCAGTGGAGCAGCTACAGAGTTGTTTGGGGCATCCATGAGGTCCGGCTGGATGGTGGGAAGAGGAGTCTGCTCTGAGGCCCTAGAGCCTGGACCAAGCTACAAGTGTTTACATGCACTGTATCAATTCAGTGTACAGGTATTCAGTTCAATGTCTGCTAGAATATATTAAAAATAAAATTTGTTACTTACCATAGACAGTGGGATTGTTGATCCATTAGTTTTCACCTAGAATTAGTGTGGGAAGAAGAGATGGGGAGTGATTCATTATATATTCTGTGTTCTCATAAAACAATACAATGCCAAATTCTGAGGAACTGGTGGAGCAGAGAGGAGGTTATATTGTACCTGAATCAATCATTGCATACGGTAATTTTATGTTGCAAAATTAGGTGCATTTTTGATAAATTTTATAGTTACATTATACAACTTTGTTCTATAATGTTTTATTTGAAATACTCCGCAAAACATATCTGTTACAATTTGGACTTGCTTCCTGTTTTTGTGCTTTGTGTTATTTTTCCTGTTCCGTTCCACCTCTCCTGCCCCAGCTAGTGATGTGACGT